ACGAGTGACATTGGGTCATGTCTTCTGCTGATAAGCTTGTGTTCGTGCATTCTCGTAGCAAGTTCAATTGGGACTACGTTCAAATACTTGCTCGCAAGAACAAAACGGGAGCGAGTATTAGCCGAGGCTGGTACTCCACACAAAAATCGATCAATAAACACACCGACATTGACCCAGACTATCAGCCGTTACGAGCAAAAGAACCACACAGTCACGAGACTAGGAGTCAAGAAACCCAAGGGCAACCGTCAAGGGAAGACAATCACGAAAAACAGAAGGCCGGCGAATCAACCAATCGAGTGAACAAAACCCACACCACGAAGCAAGAAGGAAACGGTCGAATCACAGCAGAACAACCACATACAGAACTGCCGAATTGAATGCACCCAACGAACCAACCAGACACAGGAGATTGAGACCACGTCAGATTCACAGGAGGCCAATCAAACTACACGACGACCGTTTCCAGAACTACCAGATACTGTTTAGAGGCTATATAATCACAGGCAGAAGAGGAGCGATTCACCCACTCAACCCTGCACTGACGATGTCACCTCAATTCAATTGGTGACGTTTGCAATGCAACTGTCAAGCTCGGCGAACAGACCAACAACCAGACTGATGAATATTTGCATCAAACGGGAGATTATAGTATACCTTTCAACCTGACTTATTGTCTTTTGCGAAGTTTGATGGGTATGGGGCGGAACGAATTGTGTCATTCAACAGCTGTCAGTCTGTAGAACAGCCACCTATCAGCAAAAGGAGGAAGGCCTTCGCTGCGGAGTTGTTTATTAGAGAAACACCAACTGAACAGCTATAAAATATTGGACAGGGGAGCAAAATTCTCATATGCATACAAAAACTCATACAAAAACTCTCATACAAAAACTGAATATCCATCTTCCCACTGAACGCATTTGCAAGCAAATGCTACAAAGCAACTCCACAAACTCCGTAACAGATATCACTTTTCAAGAGACGCGAAGCGGAGTTCCAAGGAGACACTACTCACACGCCTCATCAGTAGTAACCACCGTTACACCAGTAATGTCGTGGTGGTACTGATGCTTCATTCACGTGGTTCCTGGTCAGTATCATACGCTATACAATCAAGGAAATAGGCTCTTCCAATATCACTGTTCTTATTATCATATGATGTAGATGTAGTAGACCGTATTAACTGAATTACGTAGCAATCACGACAAACTGGTTTGATAAGACTTGGCATGTTCTCTCTGTAGTTAAAACCACACTTACCCCACGATTTGCCGTCACATCCACCTGTGGATTCATTCGTCTTACAAGATTGTACTCTGTCTACATAAAGCCTGAATAACTGTGTGAAAATTCGGGGGGTATTATCGATTTTCTCCCGCGCTCCCCTACACATGTATATTCTGTAACCGAATGAAAATTCCAGTGGCCGACCAAAAGTTATCGTCTCAGAGTGGAAAGCTTACTGGGATGGGGGGAAATCTCCTGTGGTCGCTGTTTGACTAATTCAACTGACAACCGCTCGAGAAGCAGCTGAACGGTAATCCATAGGCACACGTAGCAGATATGTTATCGCGCATCAGCTGGGTTGTGCAGCCTGAAAAGGGACTTTGTTTCTGAAAAAGCTGATCTGAGACGGAAGCACGAGGGCTGGGATACTGCCAGGTTATCCAAGCCTAGACAGGGGAAGTCGAGAGGCAGAGGTCGGGTTCGAACCACGGACCTTCCGGTCAGTAAATTCGCGCTCTAATCACCTGGGCCGTCTCGCCCCCTAACCACCAACTGACCTGAGATGTGACTAGTTAAACACACGCTGTCAAAACAATACCCACCATAGGGAAGCATTTCATCTGATTTCAGCAGAGAGGGTCGAAAATGTCCAATTACCAGAAATGAAGCCACGAGATTCTTGGGTTTGCATTCCATCGCCTAGTAAACACTCAACAGATACTTGGATGCTGTGCGACTGTTTATTCCAGGCTGGTAATTCATGGCACTGGAGACAGATTCAAAACCTAAGCAGTCCGGATGGAAGATGAACATCTTATAAATCGGATGAGTGATAAGCCTGTACTTTTTGAGCACAAAGTTCATATCATGTGACCTCGTATTGATTGGCTTCTCGGGCGGATGAAGGGATGTGCTCTTTAAGATTTTGCCCTATTCCATCCATGTGTCTATTGTGAGTAGTTCGGTGTTTTTTCAGCCTATAAGAACTAGGCACACACACACAACTGAACCACTGCAATGTCACTATCAATTTAACGCAGATTAGGCCGACAGTTCATTTCATCCGAATGTGACCACTCTTGTCCACTCAATCAGTGCACGCTATCAGCTCACCTGAGATCAAGTACAGAAAGTGTCAACACTTCCCATCGGACGGTGCCCAGTGTGAAACACACTGCCTGTGGAACCCCATATCCAATAAAATATTTCTTCACCTCGATTTTTGCTACCAAGTGGGTCTGTGATCCCGTGCTTCTGACTGACTTACAATCCCTTTGGATGGAATTCGTCACTGTTTCAGGTTGTGATGCACCTAGGGATAGGATCTGATATGAAACTACCAACTTTCTATTCCGGTATTGAAGCCTGGCTAATTCGCATAGGGGCATCCTGTGTAATATCATCTGAACACGGTAGAGTGTACAATTCCGCATCCAGTTATCTAGTCGCGACCTGATCAGGGTTCTTGTGCGTTCAGCCTACGTCGCGACCGGGAAGGTTGATGAAACACTCAATTCGAATGACTACGTCATTGTGAGAACCTTTGTTGGTTGCGTGTAGCTATTTTAATCCGTCTCAATATGACATCCCACTTGGAACGGTTCAACTGGCCTTGGTGGATCCTACGGGCAAAAACTAATGCACACCCCTACTAGGAGAACTAGCTCCGAACATAACAGGACTACAGAACTGCCAATGGAATAACCGTTTTTCGTTGAGACAAATGTGATTGGTTGTTCTTCACTCGCCCTTGACAGATGAGTTGTATTCTTAGTATCACTTTTGGCCACGCGACAGTGATCAATAGAGCAGCTGGCTCGCACATTCATTGACTATTCTGATTTGGCCAAGTGGACCACGTGATCAAGCGGCTATCCAGACCGAGGTTCACGGTACTAAGAAGGCAGTAAGGGACTGTGGTCCACGACAACCCGCGATATAACTCCTTAAAAAGACCACCTGTGTCGTGAACGGGCACCGAAATTTTAAAAAACCCCGGTAGTTAACCATCACATACAAACATCAGTTAGGTAACGAAACTTGTGTGCGACCTGATTGTAGATATTTCCAACTCACTGCGGGACAATTCTAGTGCTGAGCTTGTCTGAAGCCACGTTAAGTCGGCATAGTTATATCGAATAATTCACATGCCACGACACTGTTGTGAAGGGAATCAGCAAGCGATATTCTTGCTCGAGGATCTGTGTCCATGTGGGAAAAGAAGGCTCTCATGTCAGATGGAGCGTCAAGAACTTTATCTGAAATTCAAGACGTACACCAATTTGTAAATTCCCCACTACAGGAGAACAACTCACAGAGGCCGATCTCAGAGTACACATTGAAATGATCTCTCGAGGGACGAAGCAATCTGTTAGAGGCAGATATTCAAAATATATCATTTGCGTGACTCACCCTTTCAATTGTTCTATGGACGGAAAAATTACCCAACCATGAAGGCCGCCGCCGGAAGTGCAATGTCACAACGACTGGCAGATAATCAACTTCAACCTTTGCTTAAAACGGAGCGGTTTGACTTTGGCCCTGAAGCTACAACTCGACAGCAGATGTCTACATGATGATACGCCAATCGCATCTCAAACGATGTTCCGCATCCGATCAATGCAGAAGGACCATTTTCTGAGGCCGTAACATCAAATTAGGTTGATTCGTAACAGGTTTATTTGTAAAGTTTTCCCCTTGAAGACATTCGATGGAAGGAGGCGCTGTAATGCATGGTGATACTAGCTTAGTTTATTGCAGCAAATGAGCAGATACGGTTTGAAGACCAGTCAACTCGCTCAAAATGAAAATCACTTTACCCCACAAGCTGGTGCTCACACAAGAGGGAATTTTGATGAAAATCTCGGATTAAAAACTGGACCCAAAACCACTCGTGTTCATCAAATATTTCATTTATTATCCGACGATACAAGACTAGAATTACGGAACCCACGTAACGGCAAGCGCCTAACAAGCAATTGATTAGTGATGTCTCATGGAGACGAGGCTGTTTTTTGCCGCTAAAGTCACAGAAGCCTTTGATTGGAAGCATTTAATAGCGAACTGGTAAGCAACATCAATTTGGTTTTCACGAGAGACTCAACTGAATCTCTCGTTTATGATATTCTACCATTGAATGTGCTGCACACAGGCCGCCTCATGATTCAGTTGGCACGATATTCGAGATATCGCACTATATTTTCAT